CCGACATGTGCTAGCGTTTAACCCCCACTAGCAGGATCATCAATAACATATCGACATGTGCCGACATGTGCTAGCGTTTAACCCCAACTAGCAGGGTTACAGAAACATGACCACATCGGAGACAAAATCATGCAAGATTTACAAAAGAAATCCATAATTCACAATCGAAATCCGTAAATCACAATCGAAATCTGGAATCCACAATCGAAATCCCAATTTCAAAAATAACCAGAAAATTCCATGTGGGCATGGATTTAATAGAAAATCATAATTTACAAAACTCTCAGTTCATCAAAACAGTTCAATCAATTTCAAATAGGCATGCTCTACTCAATGTAATGAAAACAATTTCATTCCAATCATGTTCAATTCCAGAAAACAATGAAATTCCCCTTTTCATTCCAATCATGCTCAATTCCAGAAAACACTAAAATTCTCATAAAAACCATCACAATTTACATTTCAGTTTAATCATACTCAGATACTGATAAAATCAGTTTAAAGCTTGCCACCATCTCAAAAACAGTTTAAAACATGCTTTAAAATCAAAGGGCTTTACCATAATTTACTTACCTTACTCGCACAGAACAGAAAGCTAACCCAAGTGCTACGGTGACAGAATGATCAAAACCTAATCACAATATTCCACAATTAATACCGCACCACCACAAATTCACAATTAAGCTGCCGAAATCTTCCATTTTTTTTCCTTGGCAGCATTTGGGCAATCACAGGGCAACCACACAAAGACCAAATTCAACAAAGCAACCACCAGATGAAATTCGGACTTAAATGAAGCTATCCATACCGGAATTCAACAAGCAAGGCCGGAGCTGACGGATTTGGGGTGGAGGCCGGCGGCATCTGTAAGGAGAAACTCACGGTTCTACCAAAAATTGGAAGGGAATAAAGCAATTAAAGTAAACCCAACCTAAATCAAGGTTAAAGAGAGGGATTCATGGCTAGATCTTACCAAAAAAAGGCCCGAACTCTCACACCCACATAGCAGCCGACGGACAAGAAGGAGAAACAGAGCAGAACCGAGATTTCCAACAGAGAGGGGGGGGATTTCTGGGTTCAAGAACAAGAGAAAAAGGAGAAAATACCCAAGCTTTGCCGGATTTCCGGCCGAAAAAAGGGGGGGCGGTAACGGGGGCTCGTCGGGTGCAGAGGGTCGGGGGAGGAAGGAGAAGCAGAACACGCGGGCCTGGGGAGGAAGAAAGAAAGAAGAAAAAGAAAAAGAAACAAGCAATTCATCCTTATCTTAATTTCTTTCTTTTTTAGGTCCCCCAACTTTTGAAAATTTTTCGATTAAGCCCTAAAATAATATTTTTCCTCAAATAAGTCCCCAATTTAACGGTAAAATACCCCAAAATTTTGGGATATTACAGTCTTCCTCAATTTCTCTGTCATAATCCACATCCTTAATTTCGACATTAATGACAGATATGGTCCCATCAATATGCTGAATAGGTTCATATAATATAAGATCTGACATGGTTGGTTGGGCAATTAGAGGGTCATCATCCTAAAAAATAGGTTCTTGATCATCATGTTGTTCCTCTTGTTGATCTGGCATCTCGATAACACTTCGTGCTCTACATTTCAATGTAGCAACCCATCCCTTTCTAATAGAATTTTGTGATGGATATGGAGTGTAATACACTTATTTAGCTTGACTTGCTAAGATGAAAGGCTCATAAGTTCTGAATTTTCTATTTGGATTAATATCAATAAGATGGTGTTTTCGATCAATCACAATTCCTCATGTATGAGGAATTTCATACCAATCACATTTAAATAGAACAACCGTCTGCCGATGTCTGGAGCCAACATATTGAAGCTCAATAACTTCCTGCAACAACCCATAAAAATCCAAATCTGAATTTGCTCATGTCGTGCCCGTGACACATACACCGCTATTCATTGTTTTCTTATTTTTTCCATATGAGGTAGTGTGAAATCGAAAACCGTTTACCCAAAAACCTTTATAGCATTGAACTATCCAAGAAGGGCCACGAGCCAAGCCAATCAAATGCTCATCAATGCCCTCAAACTGATCACATAAAACCTATATCATATGAGTTATTTTATTAGTTATTATTAGTATATAATAATCTCTTAATAATAATTAAAATAAATGAGATTGAACTTACTGATTTTTCAAACCATGACACAAGACAATTGGAACATTTCATCTGTATTTGTTGGGGAGTCATATTTTAACGTTCTTCTTCTTCAAAAACCCTAATCAAGCAACCATTATAATTATGTGCAAATTAAAATAATTCATTTCATTACTCAAAAGGTCGTTAAGGATAAGGATTCGGAAAATGCACTCACTCAATCCATCCCTTCAGTTCTGTCACGCCCCAAAACCCGAATTCGAGGCGCGACAGACGCCGTGCACTCGTGAGACGAGTCCCACAAATGCACAAGGCTCGGAACTTATCAAATTCACATCTGACAATCCACAAAATCTGATGATCAAATCTTTAAAATTTACTCTGATATCATAAATCTCCAATTAAAATCTCCAAATACAAGATCATGATTTATTTCTAAAATCTATATCAATCCCAAAATGGCTAGCCTTCTAAGTCGTCACTTCCCGTGATTTACCCATCCTCGGTTTCACTTCCTGAAATGGTGGACAAGGAAAAACTATGAGAAAAACTCAGTAAGTAAAATATGGAATGCCCTTATTAAACTTATAGCATGCCAACATGTGCAATCACGAAAAACGGATACAGTACGGGAACGAAATAGACGTCTCCTCTATAGGTCACGGCCAGTGTTATAAACCTCCCACTAGCAGGCTACAGAAATTACTAGTGTATAACCCCCACTAGCAGGGTTACAGAAACGAACCGGTTCTATTAATAACATGTCGACATGTGCTAGCGTTTATAAACCTCCCACTAGCGAGCACACGAATAACATGACCATATCGAAGACAAAACAGGCAGAATTTAACAGAAAATCACTGTTCACAATCACTTTCAAATCATTAGGACAATCAATTAAATTTCAAGTACGCATGCTCAATTTAATGAAAAGCATAAAAAATTTCATTTCAATCGATCATACTTGTGTAAAATGGGTTTAGTCCCGCCACCACTTCAAAACAAATCAAAAGATGCTTTTAAAAACTGTATAGGTATTACCATAAATTTACTTACCTCAAATCGTAATACATCGAAATTCACTCGCATAACCGAAGATTCAATCTTGGTGCTAACTGATAGAATGATCAAGAACCTAATCAAAATATCAAAGAATTAATTCCGCACTACCACAAATTCACAGTAAAATAATCATTAAGACTACATTTAATCACGATGCTAATTCCTATCAATCTCCACATGATCAAATATCTCTAAATTCGTTCTTATATCACAAACTAATCATTTAAATCCCCATTAATTGTTGACCCTCGGTGTGTGAACAGTAATATGTGAACAGTGCCGTGAACAGTACCACGACGTGAACAGTAACTCAAACTTTCAAAATTGGCAAAACACTAGCTAATTCACGGGATTTTCTCTCCAAAAATCACACAGCAGTCAATTAACACTAAACCACATAAATTTCACTTGAATCAATGCTTAATCATGGTCTAATTACTATCCAAATTCATCCCCATTTTCAGCCAATTTTCGGGCATAACAAGGCAGCAAACTAAATGGGTAATTTTAAGCTTAAATGGCTGTCACATACCATAATTCTCCAGCTAAAACCGGACTGCAGGTGGGGAAGAGCCGGCGGCAGTGCAGGGGAAGAAGCTCACGGCCTACCTCAAAAATTGGAGAACCAAGAGAAATTAAGGCAAACCCAAGCCAATTCAAGGAAGGAAAAAGGAATTAGGGGCTACTCTTACCAGAAAAATGCCCAGAATTTCGGGCCTAGCAACAGCAGCCGGCGGACAAGCAGAGCAGATCCGGAAACTGCAGAGGAAGGAGGGAGATTTCTGGGTTCAAATCTGATTTTTTGGACAAGAAAAGAAGGATAAAATCAAGCCTCCTTACCGGTTTTCTCAAGAGAAGAGGCGCGGCTTGGCTGGGTTCCTTGGGTCTTCTTGCCGGCTGCAGCGGAAAGAAAGAAGAGAAGCAGAATCGGGCTGGAAGAAAAGAGGAAAAAGGAGAAAAGAAATAAGCCATCCTTATCCAAATTCTCCTCTTTTAAGTACCTCGAGTTTAGGAATGTTGGCTATTAAGCCCAAAACAATATTTCCTCTCATAAAAGTCCTTAACTCACTTATTTATTTTAGAAATTTTTGGGGTATTACAAGTTCTGCACAATTCATTAAAACATAATACATTGCAGCATTACACTCCTCCATTGTCAACACTCATTGTTGTTGTAGAAAACCTATTGGTTTTCCAAGATTATTGAATATTGAAAGGCCAATATTAACAGAAAGACCTAAGCCAACAAGATTTTTGGATATGCGATCACTTCTTGTCTCAACTTCTCCTTCAAAATAAAGCAAGATAAAGTATAAGATCTCACTCATTATGTAATTCTCGCATATTGATCCTTCAGGACGGGCTTTATTTTTCAATGAACCCTTCAATCCATGCATTCGTCTAATTCATGAAAAAGATTTTATAATAATTAATAATAATTCAACAAAATTATGTTTTATATTATATATATAAAATAATAAAAAAATTAGATATTCTAATAATACCTCTCAAATGAATACATCCAACGGAATTGCACTGGTCCCCCCACCATGGCTTCATATGGAAGGTGAATTGCTAGATGCTCCATTGAATCAAAAAAAGAAGGAGGGAAAATTCTTTCAAGTTGGCATATTGTTTCTATAATCTTTGTATGCCAAATCTCCATATCTATAACACGAATGACTGGAGAACATAAGGTTTTGAAAAACTCACTGATCTCTGTAAGTGCTTCCCAAACTTGTTTTGGGAGAAAGTCACTTAATGCAATTGGAAGGAAACTTTGCATGAATATGTAACAATCATGACTCTTCATCCACTAACTTTCGCCTCTTGCATATTCACACACAGAGAGATATTGGATGCAAAACCATCAGGAAATCTAAGATTCTTTAGCCATTGGCACAATGATTTTCTCTGCTCCTTATTCAAGGCATAAGTGGCTGTGGGTTTTTTACCTACATTAGTGCCTATTTCTGGTATACAAAAACTTCGCTTATTGCAATATAATTCCATATCCATCATTGCCTTCAAGTTGTCCTTCGTCAATGAGTCATCCATGACGGTGTGAAAGATATTATCAAAAAAAAATTTCTCACAATGCATGACATCAAGGTTATGACGGATTAAGTTTGTGCGCCAATAAGGAAGCTCCCAAAAGATACTTTTTTTTAACCCAATTATGCCAATCACAAAATCCTTCAATAACCTGCCTTTGGGATGGCTTCCCAAATAGTATATCGGGCAACTGCTGAATTTGTTGGAACATATCATCACCCAATAATCTCTCTGGTGAAGCATCATCCTCTACATGACCTTTTCTAAAATCATTCATATTTTTTCTGAATGGATGATCAGGGGCTAAAACTGTCGATGACAATCAAAAAATGATATTTTCCGACCATTTGGGAGGTGAAATGCCTTAGAATTTTCTTGACAATACAGACATGATAATCTACCATGTGTGCTCCATCCAGATAACATGCCATATGCAGGAAAGTCAGTAATTGTTCACATAAGTGCTGCTCTCATAATGAACTGCTGATGCCTAAAGCTATCATATGTTTGGACCCCATTATACCAAAGTTCCTTTAATTCATCAATCAGTGGGAGGAGCATGACATCAATGTTTTTTCCTGGACTTTGAGGCCCTTGTATGATTAGAGAAAGAAAGATGGATTCCAATTTCATACACATTGCTGGAGGTAGGTTGTAAACAGTCAAAAATACAGGCCAACATGAGTACGGGGCTGTTGTATGTCCAAATGGAGTGAACCCATCTGTGCACAATCCAAGCCTTACATTCCTTAGATCGGATGCAAAGTTAGGGTAGGTGCGATCAAAGTGTTTCCATGCCTCAGCACCGGTAGGATGCACAATCTTTTCAAATTCACCACCACAAGTAAGGTGCCATGTCATGTGCTCAGCAGTTTTTCTACACATGTACAACCTTTTCAGTCTAGGTGTAATCGGGAGATACTACAATGACTTCCTTGGTATATATTGATTTTGTTGCACATGTGCCTCCTTATAACGAGGTTCACCGCATACTGGACATGTGATGTAGTTTTTGCCTTCATATTCACCATAATACAAGAAGTAGTTATTTACACAAACATCATACTTCTTATAACCTAGACTGAAGCGCCTCATCATCTTTTTAGCACTGTAAAAATCTTTTGGAATCTTATCTCGATCCTCTGGTTTAATCCATCTCCTACTTCACTTTAACACATAATCCCAATTAGCCACACTCATATTATAAAGTGTCTTTGCATTCATAAAATGAGACACCCATTTGAGTACTGTATCACCCTCATCACATCCTTCATAAAGTGGTGTATTAGCAGCTTGCAAAAGATCAAAAAATTCCTTTGCATCTCCCATTGCCTCCTCCAAGATTGGCTGATCACTGGCTTGATCATTCATATTATATTTTATACCATGTGAACTCATTGCATCCATAACCATCTCCCTAATTGGATTATTACTTGGTTTTTCCATCACAAAAGTGTCATAACTCAAATTTTTACCAAAAACAAAAAAAATCAAAAATATAAAAATATGAAAATTTCCCTTTCCTTTGACTAATATATCTTTATTTTGTTTCAGGTGCTACATGCAAAAAGAACTTGGAAAATTCTAGAAGAAGAAAGAAGGGACTCAATTGAAGAAATTAAAAGTTGGAGGGGTGAAGTTCATCAAAATGAATTTACAAACCCAAATCCAAAACCCATCGAACCCAAGCCCAAAATCCCAATACCCCTT